TGTGTGTATGAGACAAATAATTTCTTAAAAGTTGCATTGGGAAAAATTATTAAAGAAACTCAAAGCTTAAACGAAAAGATTACAAATTCAAGATAAAACTAAATTCGCTCGTCTTGAGGAACAACTGAAAATGATGTGAGTAAGACCAACGAAAATAGACTTTTGAAAACCGCGTACATAAATATTCGGTCCTAGTAAACTTAAAGTCGGTGACATCGTTAGAACCAGCAAAGTCAAACACGTCTTTAGGTTATACTCCTAATCGGACGACGGAATTGTTTAAAATTATTAAAGTGGGAGTTATTAACCGCGTAACGTATTTGCTTCAAGATATGCATGTGAACCCATAATGGGAGGATTTTATGAAAAATAATTGCAGAAAACTGTTAACTCTGACTTATATCTCGTCGAAAAGGTGTTGCGCAAACTAGGCAATATGGTCCTACTGCGCTGGTTGGGATTGGATAAGTCGCACTATTCGTGGGTAAAGAACGTAGACGTCTAATAATTTTAGTCTCGATTCAGACGTTCTGAGACAAACATGTGCGCGTGATGGCTCAAGAGTAAATTGTATAATTTATTGAAAAACTTTGAGTTGGAATTTCCACAGTCAGAAGTGCCTCCGTCCAGCTTCATTCCTGTAGAACAACAGCAACTACAAGCCAAAAAATCTGCGACAAAACGAAAACAAAGTGTGTCGGTCGCATCCCGCAAGAAAAAGAAAACTACGACAAGTGAAGCATTTAGAGCTCCATTGTTTTACCGTAAGCGGCATTAGTAAATAACTTGTATTGATTTCTTAAATTATTGTTATGATTGATATAACATTTCAACCAACGAGATTGGTTAAATTTTAATATTTTGTGAATTTTCTTTAGTACGAGACCATTTTTGATACCTTGCTTTAAATTGCGATAGTGTATGACGTAGTTTTCTTTATTACACAAAGTAGTCATTTGATAACTTTGAATTGGGAGGCACTCGATTTTCAGCACAAAATGGAAAATCTCAATGTATAACATGTAATTTCTGCGTGTATTCAAAGTCTATCTCTAGGATATATCCTTGGGCCGATTTATCTGGAATATTCATGATATTAAGTGAATCAATATCTTGATTAGACATAAAGTCGAATTCTCCGTAAGGAAGAGGCTAGCACATGGCCTTCCCATGGAGGTTATTCACGTCAAAGTACATGACACACCGAAATTCCACTTCGTATAGTCCGCTCGATAAACAATTTGATCAATGTCGCAAGTTTTTCGAAAATTTACAAATATATCTGCCAACAGAACAACGTCAGTTATATAATACAAATCTCAATACTCGCCTAATTTTTTTATTTCAAACGACTGCCAAATACTTTGGGCATGGGAATATTTTTCGGCACTAATATTGCTTTAACTTAATTTATTATAGAATTCTTCAATCGGCGGTAAAGTTGTTTCATTTAATTTGTCTAAATGGTCGATGTAATCGTAACAAAATACACCTTTTTTGGTCAATAAATTTAAAATTTTTAATCGGGAGTATGGTACCACAGCTTTTTTTTTGCAAAAACCGGATGCAGGAAGTGGCTATCTTATCCGGAAACGTTTTGGAATTCTATTGGCACTACAAATTTTTGCTGATGGGCAAAATCTCTAACTTTTCCTTTAAAATGATCATGATCATGAACAAGAACATCTTTTTAAAAAAGGTTTTTCACACATTTGACAATGCCTCGAATTTTGATCCAGACTAATTTCATCATCCATCGTTACAATATCCTTAAATTTTGAGTGAACACATTTTGATAAATCAGAGATTTCCTCAACGAACCAATCAATACAATCTACACCACGATAACTTTAGAAAAATGATATTGAATCATCATAGCAGCATTTAAAGTAATATGCTTCGTGATTTTGGTATTTCGCGGTTTTATATGAAATTTTTAAATTTACTTTTTCAATTGACTCTCAAAATCAGCGTAAATTCCGTCGTTTGTTTGCATATGTGGTTTCGAAATTCAACATGATCATATTTGGGAAAAAACACTTTATACTCAGTGAAACTTGAACACAGTGTTTCGTGGTCATGTAGAACAGTTTCATTACTGAAATAATTTAAACACCTACGGCAAATCTATTTCTTGTGATTATGTTTACTGTGAGGTTACTAATCGAGACAAATTTTTAATGTAACAATAGTGATATTTTATTTCTTCATGCGGATACGGATTAAAAGCATTAAACTTTGGATAATATTTATTTTGTATTAACAACAAATTTGAATGTTTTGCGCAATTTTCTTGTTCTTATCAAGCGGGCTCCATGGAGTAAGAACATTTTTTTTTTAAATTTTAATTTCCAATTTTCACTTGTCAAAATTATAGTATGGATACGAGGAAGGTAAATACTGACGAAAACGAGCTGGAAAGGGGCTGCAGACAACCGACCAATAAAGACAAGCTTCATCATTACTTGTAATGTTAATACATGTCCTTTTATTCGCAATTTCTTGAGGCAACTCAACGAAGGATGACCCGTTACCCATTTCAAATTTATTAATAATAATCTCTAAATAAATAATATTATTAAACGGACCCCGAAATCACGTACCTGAAACTATGACATTTCATTTAAAATTTTATCTTGCACATTTTCAGCAAACCAATCGTTCAATTCGGTTCGTCAACCACGGCATTTCCGGTATTCAGATAATTAACACCAACTTCGTCTTGGAGATCAATTTTTGCCTTAATATGTAAAATGTGGCGTTTACTAATTTTTTGTTGAAAATTTTTACGACAATCGTTTAAAAACTCAATTAATCTTTATGAAGTAAATTAAATAGGACACCGGCCTGAACTCTTCCCTGGAAACATGACGCTACCGATTTCCATACAACCATTTGATTTATATTTGTCTCGCCGCTGCTGCTTTGTATTCCCAATCCAAAATGCTTATGTTGGTAATTAAGAATGATTTTTCTAATAACTTTAATTGAATTGTCGTTTGCAATTTTCTTTTTATCCGAATAGATAAACCCTTTTTATTACAAACGATTTGGTTAGTTTTGGTTAGTGTAAACTTGTATATATGTAAATATGCTTTTTTAATTTTTGTAATGTTAAAGTTAAAATTTTCGCTCTATGAATAATCTGCTTTACGCTTACCGTGGTTTACTATATACAACAGTAAATAAGACTTACCCTGTGTAACATGTAGATTAATTTTGAATTATTTTAAATTTTTGTAAAGTGTTGGTCTTTAAAGTATCTTTGGCTCTCTCGTAAACCAGTTTGCACTCCCCTGATGTAAAGTTTTCTAGTCGCGGACGAAAAGCTTCTGTCACGCAAGTAGGAAGAAATAATGCGGAATTTTCTAACTGCAGCAACACAGAATTGCCAAATTTGGTCTTAACAATTTTGGAGCTCGCAATTTTGAACGCAACGCCTTGAGCCAAGTCATACAATTTCGGTTTTACAAATTCTCCTTCTGCAAAACAGGTTTGATTAAATTGACCCAAGTTCATCTATAATTTATTCATAATTATCATTTTTTCAAAAAAAAAAAACAAAAGAAACTTACATTTAAGATTGCTGCTGTTCTAGTTGTGGTTACGGGGTGAGAGTACTAAGATGATCTTTAAGACCTTTATAAAATAATAACAAATATTAAAGCATTAAAATAAAATAATAAAAAAGGTACGAACACCAAACCGCGCTGTACGAACCATTCAAACAACTACAAACAACTCGAAAGCAATGCAGTTAATACATTCTAAAAGTTAACAAACACAACTCGACATCTTTAAACTCGACATGCTTTAAAAAGTGGATGCGTATCAAGTGAAACAAATTTTTCCCATTACGTTAATCCCACGGGATCCATATAACCAGTCAATTAATTCTTATTCTCAACAAGCAAAACAACTTGACATTTAGACTCGACGCATTTTAAAATTCCACATCCTATACGGTGCATCCAAAATCGTTACCGTCCGAGATTGGAAAAATTTAAATAAAAATGAAAGGCCTTTATTTCTGGCGGCAACATACGTTCATCGAATTTATTAATATACAAACATCGTTAAAGTCGGAACGATTTAAAATTCTACGCGGCAGACTGTACGCCCGAAGCTGCTGCATCTCAAGTTGTTCCCGGCTGAAAGCACGTTGACCTTGAGACTCCCATCTGCATGCTTCTCTGACGACAACATACGTTCATCACGTTTATTTAAATATGCGTTAGTGCTTGTGGGTAGAGCACCTTTCGATTTTTATGTCACTATTAATTTTTAATTTAATACCGGGATGGCCGACAGAATCGACATAAAAAGAAAACCCTCCTCACAGACCAATTTTCTAAAAAAAATAAAATATATTAAATTCAAGTATATTTAATTATCCTCCCTATCCCCCAGCAACGCGTCACTGCGTCACCCCGTCGCCGCCATCTGCCGGGGGGCCTCGCGGTGACGCGGCCGCCAGTAGGAATACTGGCGAGAGTGCGCGCGCCACATCTAGCAGTAATGGGCGGAACCGGGGGAACGAACGGACGCGAAGCATCCCGGACAAGCACTGGGGCAAACAGGGCGTTACACAAGGGGGACTTTTAAGGGGCGGAGCACACTCTGGTAGCACGAGGGTACACTAGGAAGGGGGCGGGGCACACGCCGACTTTCTTTGGGAGGGGGCCACATGCGGTTTTTGGGATTGAGGTTATGTGCGTTTTTTTGCTCCTTAACCGGCCTATCATTACTACTAGAAGGTCAGAAATGACGAGGAGGTATTATAAAATTTGAAAAGACAACACTAAATATTACAACTTCATCAACCAGGAGAATCGAAGTAGCGAAGGGGTATTGATTATTTCTTTAAAAACACTTTCAAATATTGCCACTTTACCTACCGCGAGACCAGAAGTGACGAAAATGAGAAAATTAAAAGAAACTTGTTAATATCTTTTTTCGCAGATTACGTTTAAGTTAGTAAGTAGCCGATAAAAATTTACCTTGTTCAGCTTGAAGCGCCTTGCGCATGCCAAATGCTACGCTGCTGCAGTACAAGGCTTGATAAGCCTCGATAGTCATTCGCATTTCATCACGCACCCTCAGCAAGAGCAGTCCCCTTTCAGCGCAATTGATTGTCACCTCTCTGATTAGCTCATCGAAACATTGAGTATACAGTTCCCGTCTCACAGGACAGATGCCAGTTTCACGTGCCTTAATATTTAAATCGTATTGAAGTAGTTGCGGATGGTTATATTATTTGGTTTATTGAATTTTATAACAATGAAGCCATAAATATAGGTTAGCTACTTCAAATTCGCCATCCCGTTCCACTCAATTTCGGTGTTGGCCATAGGCGTAGGTACACTTCGCGGAATAAAATTCCATAAAATACTCGGTTGAAAAGTTCATCGCTCTTAAATTATTGCGGGATTAATAGACAGTAACCAAACATAAGATAAAGACAAAGACCGTAAGTCAAACCTTCCAAGAAAAGTCCAAGCAGGCCAGTAAAATCCCTTGATATGGATTTTGCCTAAAGAGTCTAAAGGAGTAACAAAGAAAGCAGAAGATTTTTTTTTGTTTTCGTGAGACCTGGATTAATTAATTAAAATTTTTTTTCCCTGTCAACAGATATTAAGGTGCGTTAGAGAGAGAAGAATTCGGACGGTTTGGTTATTATGGTGAACTGTTAAAATATTTTCTGGCTGATGACCATTTCCTTAAAATATCATTTTTTTAATTAACCGCTAACCAAATAAGAACAAAAATTTTTACAATTATGTGAATTGAGTGCACAAAATCCTGAAAAAGTGAAAGTTAGGTCATCTCCTTGGAGGGGTTTTCCTTTGACAGTGCGTTCAATTTATCTTGGCAAAGTTTTGAATGACTTTTTTTTTTTGTTTTTGCGGATATCAGTTGAAATAAAAAAACCCAAAATATAAGGTTAGGAGCCAAGTTTTTTCCTAAATAATATGTAAAACAAAACCACAATTTTTTTCTAGATATCAGCATTTTACATTGAACACCCTATTTTCAATAGAACACATTTTTCTTGATTTAATTATAAGAAACCCTTTATATTTTATTTCACTTGTTTTCAAGATATTGACAAAAAAAGGAATATGATTCGTAGGCTGACAATTAAAGTCTGACATATTGCCAAGCGATTCTCTATTTTCCGTGAGAGAAGTAATATGCTTAAAGTATATTATTAAAATAATAAAAGGGTAACGCTAACAATTAATGAATTTACACAAAGTCTTTTTCATCCTATGCCATAAAGTTTCAATAATATTCAAGTCAGGGCTACTTGATGGCCACGATAAAACTTTCATATTATGGTCCAAAACCATTTTTTTGTTGTTTTCGCAGTATAGCAGGTTGGTGGAATCAAACCTCTTGATAAAATTTATTGGTATTTTTCTGCATTTACAGTACCATCAATGAATTCGTAGATGCCAACCCCTTTACCACTCATACACCCCCATATCATAACACCCTGGGGAAATTTTACCGTACGCTTTAGACAATCTTTGTGAAAGACTTTTGATTTTTTACGAATCACCCTTTTTCGAAAATCGCCTACACACACATCAAATTTTGATTCGTCGCTGAAGATAACGTTACTCCACGTTTCCGTTGTCCAGGATATTTTAGATTTTACCCAATTCAAACGTTTTTTCTTCTGAATAGACGCTAATAATGGTTTTTCCTTTGCTTTTAACAAAAGTAGATCATAGAATATTAATAATTTTTATATTGAAACAGGAATGTTGTAAACTTGGAAATCTTGACCAGAATACGAAGATCTCCTTCAGTGATTTTACGGGGTCGGCCTGAACTTTTACCACGAACGCTAACACTAGCTGTCTCTCCATACTTTTTTATAATATCCCCGACTGTTGATTTTGCAATGCTCAAGTCATTTGAAAATTTTTTCATTGATTTACCTCTGCAGTACTACTACACTTTTTTGTTTGTTGCAACACCACGCGTCATTTTCTTATCTCTATCAGACATCTCATTTATCTAAGCACACTACATTTTACCATCAATGCATGTCAGCAAATTTGGTATGTTTGCGTTATTTTGCTATGTAATTCATGCGAAATAAAAAATAATTCGTGCGTAAATTGATTATTCAATCGACAAAGCAAAAGAAAATTTAAATAGATATAAAAATGTCTTTTTTATCATTTTTTACATCGTCCGAACATTTAGTTGTTATGGCTCGTATTCCTAAGTTCTGCATCCCCCGTTTCCCGGGCGAGATTTTGAGATTCCAAATTAAAGATTAATGGGGTAGGGGTAGTTTTTGTATTTGTGCTTTTTTGGCAATTTTTTTTTGCCTTCTGTACTTTGCGTCGCGGGTGGCGAGCCCGGCCGACGACGTTACGTTTATATCGCGGAACGAGATTATAAGGTCACCGAGGTCGCGCGTAATCTATGCAAATAATACACCCAGACGCTATTAATATTTTGCGATAGCAATGATGGGCCAAATATGTTTCTTATGTCTGGATGCTACTCGCGGTTTATTGTTTTTTCGTTTAAATAAAAAGCTGCAGCGCAGAAGACGTTTAATGGCACTGACATCTTACAAATTGTGTTATTAAACATGTATTATATACAAAACTCCATCAGGATAGACAAATATTAATAAATATAGGCGAACGATATACATACATAAATAACATATATGGACATAAATAGATACATACATAAATTAAACACAAATATTATATAAAACCACCAAGAATGTCCAGCAAAAATGCTTTTTGGTCGCTTTTTACGCACTAGATTTGATTTAATTTTACCTTCGACCGAAAATATTGTAAAAGAACAACAAAACAAAATAGAACTTAAGCGCAAATAGAAAGGGGAACTGTCATTTTCAATTGGGGAGAAAGTATGGACCCGGGACTACCGTCCAAACACGGATAAAAGCAGGTGGTGTCAAGGGGTAGTTCGAGATATACTTGACTGAAGAACTTACGTGGTTGAGTTGGTCGGTGGAGTCACATGGAAAAGACATTCAAGTCAGTTAAAAAAGTATCATTGTAACGACAAGTCTTGCCCCATCAAGGAAAACTCCATGACAGCCCCAAATAAAAAAAACTCCTCGATGACTCCACCTTCCAACGTAACAAGAAACAGATCAAGTAGTACTGTAACGTCAGTTAGGTCTAGCGATAGCGAAACATCGGACTCAGAATGTGAAGACGTTATCTCACCCAGTGAAAACAACCCCAGCCACAATGAAAACCAAAGTGACCACGGTGCGCGTGTGCTTCGTAGACGTAGTAAGATTAACCCTCCAGATCGTTTATAGGTCGCCCAGTAAACGTGACACTCATATCTAAATGCAAGTGTACATAAAGACCACTAGAGTTAAGTTAGTTTCAGTTTATTATAGGGGGAAGGTGTTCTATATGCAAGTTTTTTTATATCGCAGTTTAGTTTAGGTTTTTTTGTAAACCATGATACGGTACATTTACCTAGGGCTATCCACGGCAGTTACTTGCCGGGCCGCGTATTGTACGGAGTCGTGAGTAAACGGTCGGAGTAAAGTTCCCAACTTCTAAATGCCAATTCCAGTTCGCTCCCACTCTCGATGTACTTCAAGAGCCGCAGTTTTTCTATATCGGCTACTTGAATGTGTGGTATTTATGTGTGGTATACTTTGGGTTTTTCATTTTCTTTTTTGACAAATAGTAAGGTTATCTTCTGACTGATTCTTTTTTTTGGAGAAAACAATAGGAAATATATTCGAAGATAAGAAGAAACACGATAAAGAAACAACCATTTGTTACAAAGAATTTACGCAAGCATAACGGATTCGTAAAAATTGTTCGCATATCGCATATCATTGAATTTTATCTTTCATGTTTTTTTTTTTTAATTTGGGGATAGTTTTGAGAATCAAATTGGTAGCTATCGTTGTCGTATATTTCCACAGAAGGCAGCGTCATCATTCGGTTCTCCACCCCTACTCGTTTTCTATTCGCTTCCCCATTGCCACCATTACTTCCGGTCCGATGCCTCCTTTATCTACGGCAGGGTAGAAATTCACATCCGCAAACTTGCTGATGTGATGCCCTGGAAAAGAGTTGCATCTCATCTTCGTCGTCGGCCGTTATTCTAAGGAAGTGCTTTAACTTTTCGATCCACCGTTTCATTTTTCGGCGAGTGTGAAAGGTAAAGATGTACCCGACCATCACTTTGAAATTTTACATATTTTCTTCCGTACTTTAAAGATGGCATTTAAATGTTTCTTCTCTCCAAAAACAGAAAGTTCTATACAAACATATTGTTATAATTAAATAAAGACTTACCTAAATAAGTTTTTTAAGAAAACTACCAGCATTTTCTCGGGTAGCCTACTTGTCGGTGATCTCGAAACTAAAGGTCGATGGTTAGTTCATTTCGCTCTGAATGATTATTTTACGAAAGGTTTTCAGAATTTATATAAATAGAAATTTTTAAAAATAGCCAGACTTTTTAATTATGAGATACTGTTATGGAGATAAAAATGCAGCAAAGTATGCATAATTGTAGTTAGTAATATATGCAAAACAATTTAAAAATATGTGCCAATAGAAAAAATTCCTTAATTAGCGACGTGTGTGACATTAAGGTCACTTTTATGGAGATAAAAATGCAGCAAAGTATGTTTAAATTGCTATTAGTAATATCTGCAATACAACAAGTTTAACAAGAAACCGGTTACATGCGTGTTTATTTCTCTAACAACCCCCTCCGACCCACGTGGTAAAGAAAAAAATAGTATCTCAAAAAAGATTTTTTTTTTCTGGAGATCGCCATTTAGTTACCGAAGGGGTGATTAATGACGCCACCTCGCGATCCAAATATAAATTTTTAAGGTGCTGACGTACACCAGCCACACTAAAATTGATTTTGTTTGGGTTGACAAAGAAGAAATCTGAGGGTTAGATCTTGAGATATCAAATCTCCGCCGGCGAACGGCGGATGCAGCGGATTAGGAAAAAACACTATGAATTTAGATCGCGTTGTAAAAAAAAATAAAAATTTTTTGCGCTGGTTGGTCACATGATTCGTGGGTCGATGCCGCGGATATTCTATAACAATACATTTAGTTTTGATTTTGTGAGCCTCCGAGATAGACATGGTACAAGTCGTCCTTCCGGACGATTTTTTAAATTTATTGCAAGAGAGTGATTTAAAGTGTT